GCGTTGCCTTGCTTCAGCGCGAAAGTGCCTCCTGACCGGCCCTTGAGCATAGCGACAAGATACGGATTATTCACCGTGGGAGTGTTCGAACAAAACTTGTCAGCACAGCCAAAGAGACCGTCTTCGAGGTCAGCCATGATCCACGGACCGGTGCCCTCGCCGTAGCCCCACATGGTGCTATTGCCAATGTAAATCGCCTCCATCGTACCGGGACCGTCGTCCTTGTTATTGGTTTCGGCGTTGCCATAGTCAAAGCAGCAGCCAGAGTTATAGTGCGTACCATCAGCCACCATATAGATAGCTTCAGCGTCGTCTCCAGTAGCAATACCCGTTGTCTTGTCATTGCGGTAGCCGATGCCATCTTCGACCCAGATACCGTACGCCTTGTTTCTACCGATCGTGACTGGAAGACGGTCAGCCCGGGCAGGGCTGTCAGGCTGGTTCTTGGCTCCTCCGGCGGGGGCAGACGTTAGGTGGTTGCCCTTACCAGACTGGTCGTAGATTATCGAGATCACGCAGGTAGTGCCCTTGCAGAATGCATCCTGAGCGGCAGCGTCGGCGGTTCCACCTGGGGACAGCGGGGCAATGTCTAGTGTCTTCGAGTCCGAAGCGCGCTGGACTTGATACAAACCGTCCTTGTACGCATCTAGCAAAGCGCGAACGGTACTGTGAGCAGCGACGCACGGCGTGTTGGCTCCATTGTAGATATCACAGGGGCCAGCATTGGTGGATCCGAGGAGAGCAACAGCGACCAAGGTGAAACCGCGCAGCATTGTTGGAAGGTGTGCTGGGGAGGGATACTTCAAGAAGCTTGTGGCGGAGGTGGCCAGATCAAGAATGTGTTGCAGCTGCCGTACATGTATCTGGTCTTCTAGAAGAGGTTAGCTCCAATGCTGCTGGCATATATTCAGAAACTCGCTCCGTTTCCCAGGTTCATTCTGCATGAAGATAACGATTGCAAGCTTTGCTGTGGGGACCGGCTCAAGTTGTGCACAGGATGGTGAGTCAGCATCGTAAATTAAGCTGATACCAACATTACAAGCTGTAGAGTATCCGCTACATATTGATGCCTACGGTATTAATTTCGAATAGACTATTCGAAAAACTACTTTGTCGCCAGGAAGATCTTGGTGCTGAGGTGGCAGCTGGAAGGGTGCTAGACTGGAACTATTGCGTTCCCGAACATTTTGACGGCGGTATGAACACACCAAACGCCCTGAGAGTGTGTCTGCGAAAATGGCTGCGCGGTGTCTGAGGATACCTCGTTAATATAACTGGTGTTTAGCGCAACAGCGTGGGAGTTAAAGAGAGCTATGGACAAGTTCTGTTTAGATAACAGTGCTTGAAATGCCAGTTACGTGCACCCGACCAGTTTGTGCCACTTAATTTAGCCAATCAGAGCTCCATCTTTTTTAGTTCTCGATTTCTATTGGCAGTTGCAATTGTGATAAAACATGGATAAAGGCTACATGAATTTGCTCTCTTACAACATTCTAAACAGCAGGAAACTGGTCACCCCGTTAAAATGAGGACATTTTCTAAGCGGAGCCATCTGTGCCCCCAAATCGTGCAGCATTGACAGCGTTTTGTGCATCGAATTGTCCGAAAAGAGCGCTTTTTATGACTGATTTTATCGCTGAAAATTGATATCTCAGTGAAAAGTTATGTTGATACAAATTTAAGAGGCACAATACTGGCACACTACCTTAATTGTACTTCCATGTGCAATTCAAAGTCGAGATTATTTATCGACCACGCTTCAAGAACACAAGTACACTGGCTCCATATTACTAAACACATCGAAAATCAATTCATTTGACTTTGAGTTCTATAACCGCGATCACATCTAGCACCTTCAGGGTATCGTATGCACAAAAGGTGATATAGGCTCCGACAATTTGAGTTTCTGCTGACCATTCCCGTCAAAATTGTTTGGCTCGAGCCAACGCTGATACGCATCCTTCAACCCGCCAATCCAGTTGCCATCAGTGATCGAGAACCAAGTCGTGTCGCGGTTGCGGCCTTTGTAGACGATCGCTTGGCGAAACAGTCCTTCGTATGTGAACCCGAACCGAGTTGCAGCATTGCGAGACG